AAATCGTTTGTTTATTCTCATAACTGGTTTGTTCTTCTGTTTTCATAAAGTATATATTCTACGGTCTCAATTTCCAATGTTGATAAGATACGGCATGATCATTTTTCTTTTTGTGAACTTTTTGTTGTACATGAGGCCAACATAACTGCCACTTTTCTGCGATTTTCTTTTTGTACGCACCTCGTCAAAACTCGTATTTGGTACTTTAGTCTTTGTTAATTTGTAAGCTTCTGTCAGAACGTTGTTTAATACTTTTAGAATTGTTACATAACTGCATCAATGTATTGTTTTAATAGAAAGAATATCTCGAATTGGAGAGAGACTAACGGCCGTAGAAGAGAAATGTCATGAAGTAGAACAACTTGTTGAACAGCATGGCCTATTAAGTGAGTTTTCAGCACTGTATTGGTATACATGTTCTGACCGAGAAAAACATTAACGAAGCGGCAAATGATTCCTCTTCACTTATAGTTTGAAACTGTCACCAACTACACTGGTTTTATGGAAGTGCACATGTCGACTAATTGGTAGTAAAACAGGTTTCCATATTTTATCAGTATATACATTTATAGAAACTACTCAATTGTTGAATTGTCATAATTTTATTGATATTTAATTGGATATTTCACGACGAAAACAATCCAAAACGTGGACATCGTAATATGCAATTGGTTTAGCAAATTGCGTTGAATAATTATCTAAGTAAATCACTTTGCTACAGGCTAACTTTAGGCAAAATAAGGCTTTTTGGTATTTTCGCAAATGATACTCGGAAAAGCAGCAAACTATTAACTATTTCGAATGGTTATTAGCCTGCATTTTCATTTGTTCAATGAATGTATTTTCTATGGAGGGGAAAATGAATCTGTTTTGTGCCGCTTGTTGACCATTTGTCATGTACTGAAAATTTGTTTTCAGATGAGGGAATATACGCTGAACTCTTGAGAACAATTGAAGCTTTAGAAGAACAGCTGAATGCAATCGCTCCACGTAAGTCTTCTCCAATTCTTTGCAAGAAACCATCTACAATTTAGATGCATGATGACGAACGCGCAGTTATTAATCTATTTCTGCCATTTCATTCTGATTTGTGAACATAACATACATTTTTGCAGCGCATATTATTGACAATATACGAACACCGATACAGTTATCACATTACTAAACTATCTTTGATTGACAATTATTAATGTGTCTAAATGAGTTGCGTAATTCTAATACGAACTCAAATATTTAAATAGAAGCCAGATATTCATGCGTACAAATCGAATGTCGTACCATCGCCGCTGCTCTTCTTTCGGATGTCGTGTTTAAACTGAATTCAGTTAGCTTACATACTAGTAATAAAATAGACGGGATCGATTTACCAATATTTACTATATTGAAACTAAGTAAAAAATCGTTATTTAGTACTTATGCCGTGGCGGCTATATAGTAAATATCGCTAAATTGGTCGTATTTATTTTATCACGCGTATGCCAGTTGACTGAACCCCTATTATATACGAAAAGAAATTCACCAAAGTTGCTGTACTTGTATTTTCTAGCGCCTGCGACCAATGAAACTGTCAGGTCGAAGTTCGAAATAAATTCCAATCAGAGGTCAACACACTGCAACGAGAAAGGTTCTTGGATATTCCAGCCGTCAGACAACTCGGGCGATACTCTACTCAGTGCCAAGATTCTTGAACAAATGAAGAGAAAAGTAACCGTGGGAGAAACTAACAAACTCGAAACTGCTTCGACTAGTCACAAGGGAACGTTAACAAAGAACACAATGAGTAAGAAAACTGAACTGCAGGTGAGGTTACAGTCATTAAAGGCACTCCTCTGTGAGAAATCTAAACATGACATATCGATCTAATATTGAATTGTATCAGTGAATTCACAATTTATCGAACTCAACTCCTACATGTCAGATGTAAATATAGAATATTTATAGTTTATTTATAAAATGTATTTATAAAATTATTTATAAAATTTATTGTATTTTCAGCATAAATTACTTGTATTGGAACATAGTGAGGACAGATGTATGATTTACTATTTTTACTTGCCTTCCCATTTTGTATTTGTATACTTGGAAAAGGCAATTTAACAAAGTTAAATAAATATGGCGTTGTTATCAATGGAAGACGTCGCTGGTATTCCTCAAATGTACATGAGTTCATAAGATACCTGCACACTGCAGTGGGTGAAATAAATTTAAACCGGTGGGGGGGGGGGGTGAGTCATCTTCGCAAGCGCCAGATGGTCCTAAGCGTGTCATTGTTTACAAACAAGCGTCTACCACGAGCCTTTGAATTTTTAGCGTGTATTGTCGTCGCTTGAGACGAGATTCCCGCGCGTGCGCAGGTGACGACCCTCTCGCTTTAAATTCGTGTGCGGTAACTGAACTATGTTATACGACTCTAATAATAAAGCTGAGGTAATAATGCCGTTACTTGTACAACACTTCAGCTCTGTATCAAGTTTATTATTTTCAGTGCAATGTTATATCTGTGTACAGTATGTGCATATTAAAGGTGAAGATGCGTCGATGGAAATGCACTTATGCGGCCATAGATATCGGCACTAAACGGATCGTACGTTTCAACCGAATGAAACGTATTGTCATCTGTATTTTAATATAGATCTGATCGCCATCCAATGGCACTCTGCCTCGTTGGATAATGCCTTTTTTAACCTCGTAAATCTGAGTGATGCGTGATTTGGAAGGCAAGAAACTTGCGCCTGCAGTAGCGCCTGTTTTCGTCGGTTATGATCATTTCAAAAATGTTTACGCCCTATTAGTCTACCGAGCGTGTACATTTCTGGAACAAACTAAAAACTAGCACTTCTTCCCCTGTGGATGGAAACCGAAAGTACGTCGTTGTCCTATGATGAATCTGTTAATCGACTTAATTAGCTGAATTGGGTGTGTTATGTCTGGCACCGTTTAGGCCATTTGAAGTTTTGGACGGAACTCGACTCAGTGATTTGGAACTAATTACGATATAACCGTCGCTATTTGGACTACTATTTCTGACAGTTAGTATTCGCAATTATTAATGTAAGGAACGATTAATCAAAATATATGACGTATTCAGTACTTTGTGTGATTGGCTTTATGATTGAAGGTTACGCCCTAGAGTCTTTTTACTGCTTTGTAATTGGTTAATGTTTTGAAAATGAATAAAGAGTTTTTAGTTGGTCTTGGCGAGTTCAGCACGACAGACGCAATCCAGTTCTGGAGAGTCTTGGGCGACTCTTGGGCCAGCCTTGCGATAGTCTTGGGGATTTTTCCCCAGGGCGCTGTGTCTTATAGAGTGCTCGACTGATCGACTAAGACGACAGTTGAAACTCATTTCGTTGTGTCGTATTTGACTGTAAAGCTTAAGTGACTTTCCCGATCCCGTACCTCGAGGGGACGCGATAGAGAGACTAGATTCCCCCCTGACAAGTGTGGAGAACCCCAGAGGAAAAGATATTCCCCCTGATAGTCCCACAAGTATTAAATTATAAACTTCTCGTATACAAACCTCTACTACTGGTTGAATAAATTTAGTCTGTGAAACATTTGATGGTGTGTCACTGAAGAGGAAAACTGAATCACGTGTCATAATAAACATTGAAGCTGTGGTGATTTAAAAAATAAAGTGTTGCGAAAGGTGGGGTGAGCGCGAAACGACCACAGACTGGTCTTATTTGCAGCTAATCTGTTGCTATTATTTATTCATGATATGCAGTGACATCACTGAACGGATACAGAAAAGGAGTTGGGGCGTGCGCGCTGCATAATGAGGTAAACATTGTATTTTTTGGAGAGTAACACTTTTCTGTGAGCTAGAATGGTTTCCGGACTGCTGAATACCCAGTTGAAGTTGCCCTGCTGAACGTCGTCTGGTATAGTGTTCGTTTTTGCATGAAAATAACACTCCTTCAGGCCAAGTTTCTGCAGCTTTTGATACTTGCTCTTGCATTAACGAACCAAAGACGAGATGACAATTACTATGGTTTTCAAATCATCTGATTCGACAGAATGCCTTTCTGAATGCAGGTTTAATAGACCATTTTCCGTTCACTGCGAGAATCGCGCGTTATGCGTGAAATCCAACGTAAAAACTGGACAAACAAAGGTCATAGCGTCGTAGTGGCGTCAAACATCGCGGGGGATTCGAAAAACGCGAAAGTATTTTGGGGGACATTTCCATGCTTAATAATGTGCTGTCCACATTTGATGATAGGGTATTCGGAAGCAATATTCCTCTGTCGAAGATCGGCCGGTCGATGTGAGCTACGAAATAAAGAAATTCGTATTGACACGCAGATCGCCGCAAACCAACCAACTGTGCTGAGTAGCGCCACCTGTGTTGACACAATGAGAAATTCGAGTTCAAAATCAAATCGTTCGATTTTGACGGCAGACGTTCGACGCGCGTCTTTCATGCATCTCGCAATTGTACGGAAAATCACCTATTATTACATGTAGGTTGAAGTGACATGTATATACACAACTGTTAATAATGGAATTTTTTTGTGTGGAACATCAATGAATATATTTTTTAATTTGCATTTTTTATTATCCCTTAAATGCCAATGTTTCCATATCACAAAATTTAGATAAACACCTGGTTCATATGTAATTTGATCCAAAACGAATATGCGAAAAGGTTACACCAAAACTATAAGGCATTTAGGAATCAGAATGTAATATACCGTGGTAAAAATATCAGCATACAAGTTGTATAATTCATACAATGACAAGAGTAAAATAATTTCTCAATCAAAATATCAAGTTTATATTTATGTAAACGAATTCATAATTTCAATATCTAATTTCACACTAAATCCATTGTCATACATATAATTATGCTTAAATATTGAAAAAATATATCAATGGAATTTGTTAAAATTATTGCTTGTGAAAAACCCGCACACCCCTCCTCCAGTATTATTCAAATTTTAAACATGCTATCACAGTAAGGTACAGTATTGTACATGTAAATTGATCACATACTCCAAGTTGTATGTTTTATGAATTTGATTGGCTGATTTGCATCACATGGTATGCATTAACATGCATTTCAAATTTCCTGTTCTTTGAATAGACATCTGGTATTGCAACACAATTGCAGGTATAATCTTACAGGTGGGAACTAGACTGAGTTGCCATCTTTTTCAAGAGATCACTTGGTTGCCAGTGGCTCATAGTTGCTGAAAATGAGGTTGAAAATTAGGATAGATTTTACAATATGGAATTGTCAAAGTTGCTGAAATGAGTTGCATTAATAATGCAGTTTAATATATTTTATACAGTTACAATTTGGTGATTTGTATCACCACACCGTTACATAATAGAGCAATATGAACAATTTTGAGTGTTAATTAATTCTTGAGAGTACATCTTGATTATAATACTGTTACGTATAGATGTTTTTTTTAAATAAAACTGTTTTGTCAATCAAACAAGCCATACTCATTCAATATTATAATGAATATGCGAGTGTAAGGGTACATCTGATTACGTAATCCAGGGTTTACAATATTTTTTGCTGCCAGAACATTGTTTTCATTTCATGATAACCTGTTCTATTGTTCTTCTCAAAATATCCAACAGAACTATTCAAACATGTTGAACAATCTTCAAAGTTATTCACATTGCTACTGAAATACTATGAATGCACATATTAATTGAATAGTACTGTAAACATAACTGACACAAAATTAAAAAGTATCTAATCTTGTGTAGCGTAGAATACTTACGATGTTGTGACTGGTAGTAAAGAAGACGTTCATACACTTTTGGTAGACCTACCATCTTTGTTGCATAGTACATGGGTCCACCTGTATGGCGTGGCCAACCGTACCCATAAAGCCTATAATTCAAATATACAAAATAAATTGTAATTTTTTTTATATATTATATAAAGTAATTCTAGATAAAATAAACTTCTATATGCTCTCAATTCCCATGCGTGTGCTGGTGACAATTAACCTCTCACATTTATTTAACTATATTTTGATAGATTTTGGTCACCATTTTGAAAAGTAAGAAAATCAATAAAGTTCTATACTTTTGTGAGTGAAACTATTTTGTTGAAATGACGTGAAATCAAACCACACATTCATAACAGTATACGTTATTTCTTACCAAATTGTATCGATATCTTCCATTCTTGAAGCCATCCATCTTCCAGAATACGAAATCCTTCATTAATCATCCCATACAAGGAACGTTCTAATATCTCCTGCAGATTCAATAATTAATATACATGTAACAGCATTTGTACCTTTCAGTGTTGGATTGTGTTGTACAAAGTATGCAAAAGAAGATCTAAACATATAATTAATGTAGAATGCTACTCACCAGTTTTTTTTACATGTGTACATTTTGTCTAAATATCTGTCTACAATTATTAGTTTTAGTAATCATCAACATTATGTGAGATTTTTGGTTCACTGTCAATCTGTTTTTTTTTTTTAAATAAACTATATATATTTTGTTTCACTGAGCCACAATTTTAGATATTTTGATATATCCTTGCCATAGGGAAAACAATGTTAAAATACCCTAAAACATACAAAATATGCTATTTTCACTGTTTCAGTGATCTATTTTCAATTTATTTTTTTCAACCTTGTAATATGATATATCGAATACTGGTATGTGAAAATAAAGAAAATGACAATATTTTTAGTTTAAATAAAAATTTGTGTTGCCTTCTAAGCTTGATCAGAGAGTGCTGCAAGTATATAGGAACTTAACTTACCACTGATCAACATGTGATCTTGCAGGATCAACAACCAATTTGATCATGTATGTGCAGTTTCAAGTAAAGCATATAGCAATCTCACATCTTTAATAAGGATGAACTATAACTATGTAATAAGCATTTAAACAGCTAACTTCTCTGGAAATGTAGCATGTATACTTCTAGCACAATTGTATATCTAGCACATGTTTAACATAATAATCATGTCACATAAATAGCTTGGTGAGAATTTTAGCAAAAATGGCTGCCACTCAGTTTAGCTGTGTAATGTAGTCTGAATTGCTGCATCAGCAATTGCTGCACGCTCTAAAAGTGTGTGTATAAGCTAGATTTTGTCAATGACAAATCAATATATAACAGCAGGAAATCATTCTGTTCATGTAACTCCTAAAATCTATATCTTTGAAAATCAAGCCAATTTTAATTTAGTATTCGATAATGTGAATGAGAAACAGATTTTCTATATGCATGTTCATTAATATAAGCCATCACTAAATACAAGTACAAAGTATTCCACAACCATGTGCATATCCATGCCTATATAACCACAACCATGTGCATGGCCATGCCTATATAAGCCACAACCAAGTACAGTTAAATCTTACGCAACCATGTGACATGCACATGTTTACCTTATTTAAATATTTTGTGATCTACACATGTTTATTTCATGCTTAAAGACATGCTATACAGCATGCCTATATATTTTAAGCATGGTATTATTACCATGTACATGCCAGGTGCATGCCAGTATGTTCTAATTGGTTGCAAAAGACAGAAGCTGTATCAATGCGACTTGCCTTTATGGTCAGATGTACAAAGAGGGGAGGCAAGGGGGTAGCTGGTACAGTTTTACGAGAAATAAAAAGGGCTTTTTACAATTTACAAGGGAAAAAAGACGTTTTTACAGTTTACAGTGAAAATTGAATTGTGTAATTTAGTCATTTTACAGTTTCGAAAATGTAATTTCCCTGCATTATTCTTTACGACTTTTTTTATTTGGACGTAAATTCTTGTACGTACAGAGAAAAAATGACACGTTTTTACAGTGTACGAAAAAAATATTTGATTGATTACGTTGTACGTCTAGCCTGTGATTACAGAATTACGGACTTTATTTTTTCAATTCACGAACAAAAAGATATTGCAATTACGTTGAACGAAAATAACCCTTGCCCCTCCCTCTACAAAATTTAGTATGAGGTCATCTTCCGCTACACCAACAACTGGATTCATTATATATACTTACTTTAAATTTTTTAGAATTTAATACGTTATAGTTTTTGTCTCAGAGAATGCTTTACTAATCAGTGTCCATGCTTATTTGTTTGCGAATTTGAATTTAGCAACAGTCTTTTATGCCCAGTGTGTTATTGGTTAGAAATACCTTCAATTGCACAAACAGATGTCAAAGTCGCATATATAGTCTGACACAAAATACATATACGAGTCAAGACAACTTACTTGATATGATATTCTTCTTCTCACTATTCCATTCTCTTTACAGTACCTAATAATAATGTCTTCAATATCAGGGTCAATTATAGCCTGAAATGCACCTGGTCTTTCATATTTATAAATACCCTTTCCTGTGAGAATAGGAATAGACAGCAGAATTATAATATTTATTCTGCTTATAGGTCATTGCAGTGTGCAGTACGCTATACCTGATTGGCAAGAACCTATCATTTGTAACCGAACATAAATATTTGAGTTGTTCACTGCTGTTGTTAATAAATTAGGGTTTTCAACCCACCTATTCACCTTGTTCATCATACCCACCATAGACTCCAGCCCCCCCCCCCCAACCAGCCCACTTTCCATAGCGATTGGCTTTAAGTCCTTGTATACATTACAGAAAAACAAGGGAGTGAACATAAGGCAAATAGCACTGACCTCTTCACCTTGGTCAAGTGTTACGTGATGTGGAATAAAATCTAAAAGGTCATGGGGCTTCCCCTGACCTAGATTTCGTTGTCCGTCATTGGCTGAATCGCAGATTAATACCTATAGTTCAAAATAGTCATTTTGATTGACCGGAGTCTATGGTGGGTAATTGAACGTAGTGAATTATACCGGGTACATGCATGTCTTTCTCTAATAAAGCTATTTAAAGGCAACATTACTACAGTGTGGCACTGTACATTTTTGCTCATAATTGTCAGTACTGATATAATAAGATGTAGTCATCTTGTATCGTCATGGTATTTTGTAGGTCTAAATATCATGATGCTTATGCTAGTTTTAAAGTGATAACTTGGAATGCATGCTGGCTTCGGTCACTGTCAGGAATAAATTTCAATCCTGAAACTTATTACAAATTCACACTTTACACCCGGAATATTTCACTTGTTCTTAAATACTGTTTATTTGTTGACCACTATTAAATGCTATGCTCACCCTGGGCCTATATATGTAGGTGTAGCTTATCAGAAACCATAATCATGATTGGACAGTGAGCGATGATGTCATAAATTTCACTAGTATTTATTTATAGTGTTGTACTATTATAATTATAAAATTGAATGTCATACAACATTTACATACAATGTACCCCTGGTAATCTGTTACGAGTACTACAAGTGCATTGTACTGACTAAGGGATTGGTCAGTTACTTCGGCCTAGAGGGGTCAGCAGATTCCATTTTGCCAGCTGTCAATCTCAGTTGACCTCCACCCCCTATCAAATAAAAAAAAGTGGGTGACCCACCCCCAACATTATATTTTAAAACATGCTGACCCCCCACCCCCGAAAAAACAAAGAAACATTAACAGTTTTGGCAATTATATGTGCATTGAAAATATCATGGTTTGACATAATTTTTAGTGTTTGCATTTAATAGACCTTAGGAGGGGAGGGGAAGCATAAAGGAAAAAAACAACAACAGAAAAGGCTGCAGGAAGGAGGGAAATCTACGCTGCTAAAGATAGTAAATAAAAGCAAAGCTGTGGAGTACTCACTTGATAAACGCCCTTATAAGATAGGAAAAGAAGATTTGAATCTAGGCGGTTTGAATTCTTTGAAAACTAATTTGGATTTAAAATATCTTTCATATCTTATAGACCAGGAATGCTTTACACCCGAAGCACAGTCTGTGCTTATGAAAACAAAGGATACTTTGATTTTTGCTTAAATCTGTGTTGGATTTTGGTAATTTACAGAGCAAAATCTGCATAATTAAAAGTTAAAAAAAGAAAATATTTATTTATTTTTTCATCATTTATTTTAATTTATATATCAGCATTTTTACAAATTTAACTTTTTTGATTTGCTGAACAAAAACTGTAACAGCTCTTTGTACTAATTGCTGTGTTGTCTTTTCGTCTCCTGCTATAATTGGATAAATCCAGTAAATATCTTATACAATGG